TATGGGTGACCTTTGGAGGCTCAGCTGTGGAGTCAAAAGCTGACCTGGTGCTCAGTCTCGAAGAGGGATATGAGAAATGAGCTAGAGCTTATCATGATGATGCCTGAGGACACCTCAGAGGGAGCGAACGATTCAGACGCTCAAAGACATGCTTCGGGCATGTGTATTAGATTTCGGAGGGAGTTGCGGCACATATTTATCCTTGGTTGAGTTATCCTATATCAACAGCCATCATTAGTGCATTGGTATGCCACCCTTTGAGCTATTGTATGGGAGGAAGTGTCGGACCCTCATTTGCTGGGGAAAGTGTTGATTCGCGGAAGTGGAAGTTGTAGTGAGAATGGATGATTTGGAGTATGGTGGTCGAACACAGTGTCTGTGATAGTGGTATGGAATGACATCATGATGGGATGTCTGCTGAGGACGTGGAAGGGATTCCGCGGGTGTAGAGCCAAGAGTCTCAGGATGGATGCAGGGATGGAGTCTGGGACTCCCAGCTTGATTCGGATCAAGGGTTGTGTGCGTAGTGGTGGTTTCTCATGGGGATGTTAGAGACGTCATCAGTGCGACGGGTTTTCCTAACCCGAGAGTGCGAAGGTTGGTGCGGCATGGGTGTGTGATTGCAAGAAGAGGACTCATGGGAGTTGCTCTGGGATTGAAGAGTGGGTCTTTCCGTCGTCACGGATTGGATAGAGTGGGATTCGGATCGCGTATCCGATGGTTCATGGCTTCTAACCCTTATGGGTCGAGTGATTGTTGAGATTTGGGGCAGTGATGCTTCATGGGTAATTCTCGGATCGTTGAGTGTGGTTATCAGAGGGTACATCCGGTTCCCAGTTCGAGACAGTGGGCAGGACACCGTAAGGAAAGGGAAAGTGTGTTCGAGTTTCGATGGGTATGCCTTCTGAGGCCTGGTCCGATTAAGGCCAGGTGGCACGTTGTGGGAGTATTTCTGGAGTTGAGTTGCTGTAGGCTTCGAGGATGAAGCCTAATTTAAGTGGGCGAGAATTGTAACAACCCAAAATATCAAGAGTAGAGTTGAAGGGGCTAAAAGAGTAAGTTGTGAAAGAGTGACTCGGCGAGTAGAGTCGCGACTTGGTCGCGTGTTAAGTAGCCGACTCGTCGAGTCAGTGAGATGGACTCGATGAGTAGGCGCTGAGTGGAGAAAACCCTAATTCTCGGGGTTGAGCCTTATATAAAGATCATTATTTTTTCCTCCCAGCCTCTTTATCACCCCTTAAGCCCCAGAAAACCCTAAATCACGGAGAAGCACCATTGTTGAGTGGATTGGATCTTGGAGAAGTAATTTTTGAAGGAATTTTGGGAGATTGAAGGCTTGGAGCAAGGGGCTTTGCTTGGATTCGAATTACATTGCAGTTGGGGCATCTCGTAGAGGTAATATCTCGTTATTGGGCTGTTGTTATGTTGTTTCTTCATTTTGGGGTTTGTGGGAATTTGTCTATGGATGAAATGGGAAGTCTAAAGGTTAGATCTGAGGTTGCTACCTCAGATCTGGAAGGGAGAAGAATCAGAGAGCATGAAAGTCCCTGTGTTGGAGTGTTTAGTGAAGCCTACATGTCCCAAACCTTAGCCCAATGTGCAAACGGCCTAGATCCATTTGGATTCACGTAAAGTTTGCCACTTTAGGTGATGTATGAGTGGTAGGAGGCTAGACCTATGTTTTGGAGCAGTTGCATGGCCTGAAATGCTTCTGAATGGATTCAGACCGGTGGTACTCGGCGAGTCACATGGGTGTACTCGACGAGTTGCTTGAAGATGAGCTGGGACTCGGTGAGTTGGAAGAAAAACTCGGCGAGTAGGTTGATGATAGCCTTAGACTCAGCGAGTCTGTTCTTGGACTCGGCGAGTCTTGTCGAAGGGTCCCGATATTCTCTGGTTGAGTCGAGAATCGGTGAGTCGAGGGATGACTCAGTGAGTTGTGTGCGAGTGGACTCAGAGTTGTTGGACTCGGCGGGTCTCGGGGTGACTCGACGAGTAAGGTCGCGGATTGAGTGAAGTTCTGGTTATGGGAACTCGACGAGTCACAGGGTTGACTCGGCGAGTAGGGTCAGTCAGGGGTTGACTTTGACTGAGGACTTTGATTTTGACCAAGGGTTGGCCGTTGACTTTTAGGGTTTGGTCAGCGATGTGGCCTTTGGGCCAAGAGAGGGGTAAAATAGTCTTTTACCCTTAAGAGGGTGCCATGAGAGGATTGATTCTAGTCTCGAGAGTTATATTCATGAGAGTATTTGCCTTACGTGTTAGGCGGTGGTGAGTTCGAGATTTAAGTGTGGGGATATCTGCTTTCTGCTTGCCAGGTGAGTCTTCTCACTATACTTTACCTCGAGTAGGTAACCAGAGTTATGTGATCAGAGTATTTGTATGCTATATGTATGTGATGTGTTGTATTGCATTACTTCTATGTGATTTATGATGTGCATGTTTATAGAGTTGGAACCGGAAGGTTCCCAGAATTAGAACCTGAGGGTTCACAGAGTTTGGGTGCATGGACCCATAGAGTTACAGCCTCGAGTGGCTAATATGTGTTATGTGTGGTATTTTGGGGAACTCACTAAGCTTCGTGCTTACAGTGTTTTGTGTTATGTTTTTCAGGTTTCTTTCAGTATCACGGGACGGCACCAGCTTGATTGTACACACCAGAGAAAGAGTCATATTTTGGAGGATCCTGGTTTTCTATGCAAGTGAAAATGGAGTTATGTTTTGTAATTCGACTATGAATGAGATTTTAAACAAGCGTTTCTAAGAATAAAATGATTATTTTAAATGAAAATTTTGTCTTGAAATTTACGGTGTTACAAGAGAATTACTTGCACCAAATTCGGCTATCACTCTTCTAAGATCACTTAGGTGCCGATATTAGTAGCTAAGGGGCTTCTTTTATAGTGTGGCAAAACTAGGGTTACAACCATGTAAACCCTAATGAACATGATCTTCCATATTCCTTAGGCTTCATGGGTTTAAAGCTCCATGGACTATCCATGGGTTACAATATTTGTTTAGACTAACCTAAAGAACTATGGATCATTGGCCCACATTATAAGAATCATTAATTTACACAATCAATCCCATATATTTAATTCATCTCTTTCGATCACTAAATTAATTCCAAATTAATTCTTGATTAATACTAATTACATAATATAATTTCATATTAATATATTAGAACTTATAATATATTAATAAATCATAAATATCCTCTCCTCAAAAGTCCATCGTATCAGATTGTTCCGGTGAAATGCAACCCAAATGGACCATGCTACTCTCGGGTCAAGTACATAACAATATAGTTATGGACTTAGATACCTTATCCAACGTATATAGCACAAGTACAACAATAAACCAAATAACATTCATGTTCCATCATGATATTTGAATAAAAGGTTTTTACAAATAATAATAATACATGAATTGTCTTAACAGATAAGCATATAATACATTAGTAAGTAAACTAGGTCAACTGTAATCCAATCTTTCTTGAATGTCTGTTTAGTGATTTCATGAGAATACATGTAGTTTTGAGGGTCAAGACAAGGTTGGTGAGTGTTACAGGTTTTCTATTAAAAGGAGTAATACTTTTAATAAGTCTAGAAAGTATTATCTTTGTATGTATAATAATAATTAAAACAATGCTTGCAATGAGTCTTTAAAAGCCCAAAATGTATTTCAGTATAAGTAAATTCATACTTTAAACTGTGTTTGTGATAAATCCTTGAAGGCCAAAATTTATCTTTTGTATAAATAAAACCATACATTAAACTGTGTTCGTAATAAACCTTTGAACATCCTTGAAATCCAAATTGTACTGTTACATAAGTAATTTTATACTTAAAATAGTTTTGAAAGTAGCCAAGCCTATAGTTGATAGTAAGAGAGAGAGAGAGATGTATATTTTAGTTAATGTTTATAGTGAGTCCCATAACCGAGCTATATGACTTGTGTGTACCCCCTACAACGCTTTACCGGACGTTGTAGTAAAAATTGTAGACACCTATCACCCGCTTTCATTGATCGGTCGAGGGTTGTAGCTAGCAACAGTAGGTGGGAATGTCAACCCCGTATTGATCTATACATATGTATCGGTTCCAAAGATTAACGGTTACAGTAATGTACATATGCTAAGTGTTTAGACTCATCTAATGAATCACATAACATCTAACTAAGGCCTTAACTAAAAAGTTGGTGAATAACTCTCAGCTCTAACTTAATTGTGATTAAGTCACTAGGCATAATGAATATCATTGTATAAGGTTTATAAAAGCTGAATATGTTTGACATGTGTGTAAAAATGTAATGTGTTTGCTTTTATAAAAAGTAATGTTTCAAATTAATGAACATATGTACATGTATAAACGTTATGTACTTAAACATATAAATGAACATGCATAGTAATAGCTTAAATCTTTGAAATACTACAAAATTTTAAAACGTGCTTGCTATAATATACAATGTCACATAAAAGTCATATAATTTTGTATAATGTAGTATTTTTTGTGTGAACTAGTCATTTCACGGTAAAACAATCATAATGCGTATAAGAAATTTTTACACTAGTTGATTTATAACAATATGGTAAATTGTTAAATAATAGTTTTTTTATAAACTAGGCTTATTGTATTTTCACATAAAAAATGAAATTGATTTGTATAAACAAATTATTTTGGCACATGTATTGCCCCCCCCCCCCCCCCCCCCGAAATAATTAAAATATTTAAAAGGAGCCGTAAATACTCACCCTTGAAGCGTGAGTTCCAATTGTACGAAATCAATGTGTTTGATAAGCTTTATGTGAAAAACCATAAATCCACAATTCTTAAACTTTGCAATATTCTCAGGACCATTTCGTAACAAATTTACACTATAGGGGTTGTTTTGTAATTTTGGTAAATTATAGGGATCGTTTAGTAATTTATTTAACCGAACTTGGACTGAATTGGTTAAAATAATTTCAAACGAGGGGTTGTTTGGAATAAATGGATTCAATGATTGGGGATTGGACTGCTCTTGTAAGGGATTTGTCAAATGAGGGTCAATTTTGATAATTTAAATGCAAGTTTGAGTGGACCTTGAATTTTGACTGGGTCAAAATCGAAACCCGTTTTCTGATTGTAATCCCGTATTCGACTGACTTGGATCAAACAAAAGGGAAAGGGCTTAAATCGCATCTTCGTTTTATCGGCCATAGGGACAAAAGCCGACTGAACGCCCGTATCAAGGAGGAACAACGAAGGCAAAAAGGAATCGGGTCTCCGTTTTCTTCAACTTCAACAAAAGAAACAGTCGATCGATTGCGAGGTCGAGGCTGTCTCCGGCGTTTGCGAGGCCGAAGGGGAAAAAGATCGAAGCGGCGGGGAAGAGGCGCACGAGGGTAGTGGCGTCGCTCCGGGTGTTTGGTCGAACCGAAGGAAGAGAAGAGGTAAAACCAGCGAGGGTCTCCCTCTTTCCCGTCCGGCTGCCAGGTGCGAGGTCCGGCTTCGCAAGTCGATGTGGTCTCCGGGGCTTCGTCGCAGAGAAGGAAGAATATGAATGTGAAAGGGGTTTGTTTTCTTGGCTGGTTCGATCGTCATCAACACAAGAAGGAGGAGGAAGTATTGACGAATGGAGCAGGGGAAGGACGAAAGTGGTGACAAGGGGCTATGGGGAAACACCCACTTCGGTGGGTTTTGTTCTCGGTGGTTTTAAGGTACCTGAACGGGGCTGCTCTGGCAGCTCCCCTGATCTTCTTCTTTCATTTTTTTATTGTTATTGATCAAAATTTATTGGGCAGAAATTGATCGAATAAAAAGATAGATGTTTGTGATTGTTTGATGTTTGATAGGGAATCGATTGGTGTTTGCTCTTGTGTTCTTGACTGGAACTGATGCAGAATGAAAGGAAACATGCAGGTGTTTGGGTTTTGGTTGTTTGACAGAAATCAATGGGGATAATTGAAGGCAGTGAATGCTATGAACAGGTGAAGGGCGTTCTTTAATTTCACATTTTAACTTTTGGGTGTATAAAAAAAGAATTTGATCCTTAGTTTTGATTTTATTTTAAGTTGAGTTTGAGTGTTAATTCTTCCTTTCCTCCTTGAATGTTCAGTAGATGGAATGGTTTCAATGGAAGGATAACAGGAACTTTGCTTGCGGTTTTGTTTAGGATAAAGCTCGGAAGTAATCAGTGACTGGTAACTGGTTGTACAATAACAGGCATAAGTTGTATTGTATAAGGTTTTTTATTTTTTTTTTAATTTTTTTTGTGTGTGTATTTTGTGTATTATGTATTTGTTTCATTATGTAATGTGTGTGTATTGATGTATGTTTTAATTGGGTATGTATTTGTGTTTATTTGTTTGATTTTGTATATATTATTGGTGTTTTCCTCTTGCACACAGCCACACACACACACACACACACACATATATATATATATATATATATATATATATATATATATACTTAAAACTTTTACAAATCATTTCTTAATAAATATTATCTATTTCCAATTATCATTAATTTGTTATATAACTTGTATAATCTCCTATTCTAATAAATAAAACCATTTTTTGCCACGTGGCAGTCAATTAGCCATCCCCCAGCGAATTTTCCCGCTTACAAATTCTATGTGAAGTTTCAAAAATGCCCGCTCGTAAAACCACATGTGTCTCGCGCTGATATTGGAAACAATTAAAAGTTTCCAACTTCTCAGCGATAAATCAGCTCCTAAATTCCAGGGACGGTTGAAATGAATCGTTTCCAAAGTTTATTTATACACTTGCAATTCCATACCCATTCATTTTACGCAAATTTTGTTGTCGGGCATTGAGTAGGAGCCGCAATTTCAACTCTTAATTGATTACAAACCGGAGATTTGATTCAGTCGAGCATTGCAAAAGGGGACGAAGACGATGGTAGCTATGAAAATCAGAAAGTATGTGAGTGGTTTCACGCACAAAGCTGGAAACAGATCTAAGTTTCCAACTTCAATCCAAGAATTCGCTCCTCAGTCACCTAGATTTTCGTGCTGATTAGTAATATTCGGATAAATCCACGAAATCATGTAGGTAATCGTTTCCTATTTTATTGTTCATTCTCTCTATTTTGCAGAAACTCCAATCCAAATCAGGAATCTCCTTCCCAATCGAATACATATTTCTCCATAAATCCTAATTATGCCCAAAGCATCTCTTCTGCCACAATCACCGCCACTACTTATTTATCTTCATATGATACAGCCCGGGTAGCTATGGTTCCTTCTCCAAACTCTACAAAGATCCTTTTCAATGATGATGTCGTATTTTAATGGCTCTAAAAAGCAGATTCTCTCTTTATTCCTTCATCTTTCTATAACGCTTGTTTTCAAGGGTTCGCTTTCATAAAATATGTCAATTTCAGTCTTAGGTAACCTCTCCATGACTTGAACTAAAAGGACAAGAAATTCATGATGAGATACGTTCAATTGGATGATGTGAATAACCTTCTTAAAAGGGTGTTGATGCTTCTGGCTTTAGGGGATCAATTTCTTGATGAAACATCAATGAATATCGCACAAATCACATCATCCGTCATGTTGGTTCCTTCGTCACACGGAGCACATTGTTCATGGTTGGTTAATTAGCCATACTTATTTATCATGATTTATTACTTTTTCTGAGTTCTATGTTTTGAATATATTTCTTTTTGTTGATGAAAGGTCCAGTTTTCACTTTTTCCCCTTTTACAAACAACATGAATTTAGGTAAGATTTTTTTTTATCAACCTATATTTTTTGCTCTTTCTTTTTTTTAATCATTTCCCAGTCTATCTAATCTTCGTCCGTTTTTTCCTGTACTTACTCTGTTTGGCTTCATATCTACTCATATCTAGGCTACAACAAATTATTGTGGTGTGTATTTTTAACTTTAATGTTGGACAAAGTTTTCTCAGATATTTTTTAGGAAAGAACTTAACTGATAAAATATGTGCTTGAGTTGCCATCATGCTCTCCTTGGGAAGAAGGAAATGCCAGCTCGAAAGAAGGCCTTTAATCAAAGTAAGGCCATCTTACACTTTCCTCTTTCTAGGGTTCTTTATCAGGTTTAGTAACAACTAATCATTATTTATGTTGATTCTTTTTGAGTTTTACATTAGCAGATCTTTGATGTTGATTCTTTTAACATCAATGAGTTTATGGTTTTGAACATTAGCAAATTCCCAATGATTGACTATGGTGAAATTGACAAATTTACCCTTGCAAATGTTGTTGTCCATCCAATGATCAATCCAACACATTTGCCTTAACTGGTTAAGGAAAACTATATTCACAACCTGTAACTTCCTAAAAACGGTATATATATATATATATATATATATATATATATATATATATATATATATATTAATGGGTATCATGATTATTAGTTATTCTTATCATGTGAAATTTGTAGAACTCTGTATCTTTAGAGGAGTTTCTTGAAGTTGATTTCCATGTATGAGTTATGTTCTTATTTTGTCAGTCTATTAGAGTATTATATAACATGTATACAATTATTAGAATATATTATTATAGATTTAGTAAAGAGTATTAATTATAAGCATTTGTAAAGAAATTAGTGTTTGAATCACAATTTAATGTAAAAATAATTACAATTGATGTCCCATGTATTATTAACATTTCATAGATTTTGGTATATTATACTAATTATGATATCTTTGACCCTTTTTTAAAGAGATTAATTATGTGCAAGATGGCCTATTATTTTCCTAAAAAACTATGTTGACAACAAACAATTGATGGTCAAAGCTTTGAAGCAGTCAAAGAAATGGAAAGTGTCTGTTTTGGGAAGTCCCAATGTGTGTAAGCTTCATATGTCACGAGCTCTAATAAATTGTAGTATTTTGACAAATATGAATATACTTTTGTTTTTTTTTTCTATAATATATTTAGACTTATGTATGTGTTGGCTGCACTTTGTTGCGTTTTAGGTTGGATAATAGATGGTAGATATGATAATATTCTCATCATCTTTACTGTAAAATTACCATTTTACCCAATTTATAAAACTTCATGTTTTCCAATGTACTGACACTCACATAGTAGGATGCTGTTTTCACAAACACAAACAATAACATCCATACACAATCACAAACATTCATAATGTTTGTCAAAAAAAAGAAGAAAATCAAGTATAATGCCATATTTAACAAAATATAAAATGGAATTATGATTCTATATTTAACAAAAAAAAGTGTAGATTGCTATGAAAGTAGGATGCTATAAAGTATATAGTGCATTAGAGTAGCATGTTATAAAATACTTGAAGTCATTTTAGTCAAATGTACTTTACAGGATCCTGCTTTCATAGCATGTATTCCTTCATAAGAATTCTCATTCCATCATTTAATATATTCCATCAATAAAATTTACCAAAAAACATACAATTAGTATAGATAAAAATACATCAACACCTCAAAACAGATCATGCATCTTGATTGTTTTAGGTTTCATCTCACATTCCTCCGTTTCACTTTCCATTTCACCACTTTACCATGCGACCTTCATTCTTGCCAAAGTCGTATCCCAACAAAATATTGCTTCAGTCGACATTTCATGCTTTATCGATTACTTCATGTTTTAACACGTGTAATCTTAGCTTCAAACAAGATTGCTTTGATTGATGATTTTGCTTCTGATATCTAATCTTTATATGTACAAATGTATATTTTTGTGAGAAATAAGACAAGCAAGTGTGGCCATTTTCGTATATCGGCCATAAATTAAGGATAAAAATTGGTATGACATGTCTGTGGTTAGCGATTCAAGTTATTTTAAAAAAAAATTATATTAATTTGATATTTTAATTATATTGAAAAGTAATAATATTTAATTTTAAATTATTTTTTTGTTTATTTATTTGGTAACTACGAAAACAACTATGTATAATAACTTAAAATTGATATTTCTTATTTATTTAACCTTTTTCAAAATGTCATTTTATCTATATTTATATAAGAATCAACATATGCTTATAGTATAGTAATATATAAATCGTTTAAGTGTTTACCGTAATAGTCATTTACATAACTACCCTGCATTTTTAACTAACACCATTTTATTACCAATTACTTGTAATTTTTGCAAGTATTTCAATATTGTTTTTAAATCTGGATAACAAACATCATGTTGGTTGATTCACATTTAAGGATCCATTTTAAATTATTAATAAATCTAATATTTTATAAACATTTTACGTGTGGTTGATTCACATTTAAGGATCCATTTTAAATTATTAATAATTTAAATGTTTTACAAACATTTTACGTGTGGTTGATTCAAATTTAACGATCTATTTTAAATTATTAATAATTTAAATGTGTTTTATAAATATTTTACCCATGGTTTCCACGGGTTATAACCTAGTACGTATATATATATATATATATATATATATATATATATATATATATATATATATATATATATAACTTTAAACTCATACGTTAGGAATGTAAAATTTATAAATTTGTTAAACCTTGTTTTGTTAAATTTAAAATAAACATATATAATGTATATTTTTAACAATTTAACCAACCACATGTAATTGATCATAACAAATGTCCATACCCATATATACATACATATATAGCTGTTCGCGAAACTATTGAGAGTTGGGCTGTTTTCATCGATAAAATCCACAACAACTGGTTTGGATTCCTTTATTTTGCCGGAATACATTACCAATCATAGAAATTATGTCGAAATCAATAGTTTAAAACTTCGCGATTAATAATCAAAAGTCCATCGTATCAGATTGTTCCGGTGAAATGCAACCCAAATAATAATAATACATGAAATACCTTAACAGATACGCATATAATACTGCAGTAAGTAAACTAGGTCACCTGTAATCTAATCTTTCTTGAATGTCTGTTTAGTGATTTCATGAGAATACATGTAGTTTTGAGGGTCAAGATAAGGTTGGTGAGTGTTACAGGTTTTCTATTAAAAGGAGTAATACTTTTAATAAGTCTAAAAAGTATTATATTTGTATGTATAATAATAATTAAAACAATGTTTGCAATAAGTCTTTAAAAGCCCAAAATATATTTCAGTATAAGTAAATTCATGCTTTAAACTGTGTTTATGATAAATCCTTGAAGGCCAAAATGTATCTTTTGTATAAATAAAACCATACATTAAACTATGTTCATAATAAACTTTTGAATATCCTTGAAACCCAAATTGCGATGTTATATAAGTAATTCTATACTTAAAATAGTTTTGAAGGCAACCCAGCCCATGGTTGAGAGAGAGAGAGAGAGACAGAGATACAGATACAGATATATATATATATATATATATATATATATATATA